GCTGTAAAGGAAACCCATGATTCTCAAAACTCTTACTGAGTTTCATTTTGCAGAGAGTCATCCTGCAAAAGACAACAAATCATATGTTACTTCCAACTTCCATTTTACATAGTGTTCCTCATAGAATCATAGAATAGTTTGGGTTGGAAGGGACCTTTAAAGGTTATCTAGTCCAACCCCCCTGCCATGGGCAGGGACATCTTCAACTAGACCAGGTTGCTCAGAGCCCCGTCCAACTGGACCTTGAATGTTTCCAGGGATGGGGCATCTACCACCTCTCTGGGCAACCTGTTCTGGTGTTTCACCACCCTCATTGTAAAAAATTTCTTCCTTATATCTATCTAAATCTACCCTCTTTTAGTTTAAAACCATTCCCCCTTGTCCTGTTGCAACAGGCCCTGCTAAAAAGTTTGCCGCCATCTTTCTTATAAGCCCCCTTTAAGTACTGATAGGCCACAATAAGGTGTCCCCAAAGCCTTCCTCTCTCCAGGCTGAACAACCCCAACTCTCTCAGCCTTCCTTTGTAGGAGAGGCGTTCCACCCCCCTGATCATTTTCATGGCCCTCCTCTGGACCCGCTCCACCAGGTCCATGTCTTTCTTGTGCTGGGGGCTCCAGAGCTGGACGCAGTACTCCAGGTAGGGTCTCACCAGAGCAGAGTAGAGGGGCAGAATCACCTCCCTTGACCTGCTGGCCACGCTTCCTCCACCACTGAGTTGTGCTCGTCTTCCTGGAGAAGGGTGCTTTGCAGTTGATGTAGATTATACGCTTGTGCTGCAGCACTACTGGTTTTCCGTGAGCTAGCTTCATGTCACTGCTTTAGTTGTAGAAACAAAAATACCAATACTGTATGACAAAAGCCTGGGGTAGAAAAGCTTTGGCCTTCGGTTCCTTAGAAGTTCACAAAAGTAAAGAAAAAAATTATTTTATTATACAACCCAGTCATGGCTTCTGAAACTACGCCCAGGATTTTCATAGGTCCATTTGGTCCAGAGTTTGCAAAAGGTCCCACATTTAGCTTCCAAAATAAGTCATCTGATTTTCCAGGGCATATGGCACACTGGCATCTTTCTGAAAGTCTTTGAGACTTGATGAGTCCCCACAAGAGCTGTTGTATCCTGAGTACTTTGTAGCCCTGACCGTCATTTAGGTGTTTACATGAGAACACAGCTTTCTTAAGAGTCTGGCCCCAATCACAATTTCTGGGAACAAGAAAATCTGGTCTCAAAGTGAGCTTTCTTGAAAGTCTGTCCTTTCGAAAATTTGTTCTAAACATAAACATGTAATTGATCCAAATGCTTAATGAGACATTAACATTTGCTTTGCTTTCCTATTTAAAGAGTAATTTGTGGTGGATTGCTTTTACAGCAGATATCTCAATCAAGGTAGCAGTGAATAAAAGATATTCCTATCTGATTGTGTTTTGGAGACCTTTTGTTAAAAGGTCAGTTTGTGATGAACAGATGTCTATATTAAGAAAAACAACAGCAATGAAAATACATTGCAGCTGGTTCTGAGGTACCAGGGGGATTGGCTTGAACAAATAGATGGGTCTGAACTGATTCAGATGCCTCCTTGTTTTGGCAAAAGATGCAAAAGAAAGAGCAGGCATGAAGACCAAGGGTCCATATTCAAGCAGAATCATGTTAGGGAGGTACAATTACAACATAATTGTATCTGGAGCCATTGACAGACATCAGACCATCCCTGTCACGGTTCAAGATCAAGCCACTGTTGCCATTATTAATTATTTGTATTACTACAGTACTTATGTATATACCAGGAATTTATTGTAGCGTCTTACATAAATGCAGAAAAACACAAAAAAGTTCCGATGGAGTTGCAGTAAAAGAGGGGACACTGTGATTAGGCACTGAAAAACAAGAGGGGACCAGACCAGGATAACAAGCACAATGCCGGCAGCCTAAAAATTGTCGGCTTTGGCATCACAGCAGAGGAAATTTGAGGGAGGACAATCAGTGAATGTTCACAAAGCCTGAGGGGCAACAGAGGAAAAGCAATGAAAAGCATCTGCTTCAGAGCTTGGCTTGTCACTGGCAAAAGCTGGTATAGTGGACTGGTCAGGTAGGAACTGGACATCTGTAGCACAAGAGTAAATGAGAAACAATAGTTTGGGCAAGAGCAGACTGACACTGAGGGCAGTCAAGGTTTTATCTGATGAGATAAAAAAGATGAAGCTAACAAAGATAAAAATGACAAAGCTAATAAGACGCCAAGAGGGTCGATACAGTCAAAGGCAATCATCTTCACCACAGCTTTCCTCATGGCTGTGAGCAAAAAGAAGATTCATTGGTCAAGGCTAAGAAAAGGGCGTGTACGTAATCAAGGGGCAGTCAAGACTCGATGAGAGCTGTAACTATCTGAGCAGATAGGATGCTGCCGTGCAGGAATAGTCTGCCAGTCTTTGGTATGATGTACATAAGAGGATGGAAAGAGCTGTCCTAGATAAAGATGGTATCCCAGTGATGGCAAGGTATTTCAGTAAAAATCAATGTTATATAAATTGCCAGTTTTAATCACAACTGAATTCTGCAAGCAAGAACTTGGAGGTGATGAACTGTTCTGATTTTGTTTTTCATTTATAGTTTTTAGTTATTTCTCTACAGAAAATTTGAAAATTATTAGTTGGTTGTCACTTAAATGTGTTTATTTGCAACTGAGTAAAGCTTTAGCCTTATATTTTGTGCTTTTTTTCCTGAATCAGAAGGTAAATTCTAATACACATTATTTAATCAGTTATATAGTTTAACGTAGATTGACTGAGATTCTAAATAATTGCACTGTATTACTTTAGAATATGGTGAATGGTGTATTTCTTTTTACTAGGTTATCGTTTTCTTTGTAATATTTTCTCTACTAATATGACTGGAAACAAAACGCAGTAATGGTGTATAAGTACACAAGTTTTAAATTCTTTCTTATTAGTAAATAAAATTTTAGCATGCTGGACCCATAAGTAAAAGGTATATTAAAGAATTGTTTACACTTAAAATTCTTTCTGATCATCATATCCTTCAGGATCTTCAAAATACAAAATCTTGTCTTCTCTTGCCATGTTTGTTATTAATGGAATTAAAATTTTAAAATGTCCTGCTTTTTCAGAATTAAATCAGTTTTTCAACTTTGAATGAAGGTGGGTAGAATTTCACAAGGAGATGCTTTTTGATATAAAAGAGGAGAGCAAAATGTAACAAATATGTATGTTTCTTTCTTCTTCCAAAGTCTTTCTCTGGTCCAGAGTTCTTTCTCTGGAAAAGGAGAATCTGTGCTCGAAAGAATCTGAAAGCTGTAAAAGGTTGCTATGCAATGGTTCTTGCAAAACATTAGCAAAAACATATTAGTCTATAATGGGCTGGAAATAAAGGAGGAAGACACTGGACAGTTAATGTTAATTCCTTCAGTTCATGAAGAGACATATGTGTGCATGTTGCCTTTAATAACCGCAGGTGATGCATTAGGTTCATGTTAACAAGCCTTAAGCCAGAGGTTGAAAAGGCTTTGTTTCTGAGATGAAGAATGTCGTTGTTGTCCAACACATTATTTGTTTTTCATCTACTAATCTTAAAATGAAAAGGTGCTGCTTATCTCTTGGGAATCTTTTACATGGGAAGAAAGAGAGCAGGGAACGGACAGGAGGTCCAGGATCGGCCATTTCATGTATGTAAGAGTGAGGCTCTAGTAGGAACATACTGCAAGAAATGAATTGGTTTCCTCTCGAGTGATAAAAGAGACTGTTAGAAGTCCTTGCAGTATTTGCTTGGCTCCTTTCTTCCCCAACCACTGTAGTGCTTAGTCACATGCAAATAAAGCCCATATGATTCTGATGGTATGCTCATGCTTTTATAAACCTTTTTCTGGAAGGTTTGGGAAGGCTATCTTGAGACCGAATGGGCACAGAGTTGGTGTAATTGAGTAGATAAAGACTCCCACCTGGGAACAGCTAGTCTTACAACCGTAGCGATTATGTTGCAGAATTTTATGTTGACTATAAATGGCTCACCTACATTAACATTACAGTTGGCATTAGGCCTGCACTTTTGAAGTTAATTTCCTGGTCATCCCCATTTACCCTTCTTCGGTTTGCAGAGCGCACAAGCCAGGTTTCTTTTGGATGAATCTAAGCCAAAAGATACATTCAGGCACTTGTGCTCCCACCACTACTGGGCATGCAATCTACAGAACTAGCCTGAAGCTAGTCCAAAGTCAAGTCTCCCGAAATGCACATTGTGGACATTGGGTCCTCAGTGCTACCTCTTTCACTCTACAGAGCCATTCTTAGTGCATGACACAATGTAGATACAGTCCAAATTCCCGTTGACTAAGGAACTGCTGATTCTTGAAAGTGCAGTCTTGTGCCCAAAGAGCTTGCAGCAGAGGAGAGCATTCCCATGGCAAATGATATCCTATTTGATTTAGCTTCATCTCTTTCTGAAGAGTAGAAATACCCTGGGGAAGGTACCCAAAATAAAGTAGCTATGAGCAAGCAGTCTGCAGCTTAGGAGAATGGGTTGCTTCAGGGGAAAATTTCAGCTGCATAGCCATATTTGAAGCCGTGGCTAAGAGAATGGCCCTGTTCACATTCAGATTCACAGGAATCTGAGTTTTATAGCCTTTTGATCTCAGAGGGCTGGAAAGAAGCCGAGGGAATTTGTTAGAGGAGTAAATGGCATTTCCCTTGTTTAGTTTGCAGCCAGCAGTCTAGTTGGGGATACCGAATGTTAAGGATGATCCTTGGAGGTCTAGAATAGATGAGACTGAGAGCAATGCTGGGCAAAAATCTTCTGTGAGAAGCACTTGAACTGAGATGGATGGTAATTTTTTTCTGAGATAATACTTCAATAAGAGGCAAAAGATGAAGAAGTCTCTCCTGATTCCCAAGAGCTCAAGCAGCAAAAAGTAGCCATTGTTGTCAGGCTTGCTGTTGTATGTACGTGGCGTATGTCTGTGTCAGTTGGCTTCTGTTCACTTTCTTATCCATAGAGAGCACTACTGATCACTGCCCAGAAATACCGGCATCCCATGCTCCACCACTACCCAAGCCTAAGCCTAAATCTAAAAAAGCTCCACTACCACCAAAAAATGCTATTGCTGCTTCCACCACCACCAGCCATAAGAGTAACGAAGCACCTCATGCTAAAAAAAAGGGAAAGGCTCCTGCTAAGCAGCCTCCTCTCCCACCACCCAAGCCAACAAGTCACAGTGCAAATCGAGAAGCTGGTGAGTACTGCACAGGCAGTGCCAGTTACGGAGGGTGCATGTGCATGGGGGTGCTTGGCTTGGTCTTACGATAACTTCTGCCTTCGTACATAGCAGCGTTACTAAAGAGCATGCCACGGATGTTTTTAGCTAGCTGCCCGCTGAGCTCTGGTTCTGCTGTCTGCAAACACCCCAGACAGTGGACAAATCGCTTCGCTGTTTAATGAATGTGTGCACAACACCAAGCACATCAGAGACTGTATCGAATTCCTAGCTCAAGTGTGAATGCTGGCAACAAAATGACCCAGAGAACTGCTGAAGAATCAGCAGGGAAAAAAGTGACTTCTGAAACCAAACTTATGAGTTGCCCTGAAGTAAAACTACTGTGGTATTGCTGTAACTTTCTGCTGGAAATATCTACTATTCTGATTAATTTGACAAGATTACAAGCTCTCAAAGAGGTAAAGGATAAAACCATGAAGACGTCTTTAAAGACTGTTGAGTAGCAGTTGTTTTAGCTGAAAAAAAAAAGAAAGAACTATAGCTCATTAGAAATGGCCAGGCTTCCCTGAGCTGGTTGATGGCTTACTGTGATTCTGAATATGCACTGGAAATGGAAAATGTCCATCATCAGGCACATAGCAGATGTGTTTAGCACTACAGTTTGAAACCGAAATTCAGCAGTGATGCTAGATTAAAGATTATAGGTAGCTGTTCTTAAGGTACTGATCTCAAGTTTGAATGGTTGTAATTTAGACGATGACCAAAATGAAAGCATCCAGATATAATTTGAACACAAGCAATATTTTGATGAACGGGCTGTATATATGCATTGGCCAACTTATACAAGCCTTGTGTTTTCAATCCTCGGTCAGTCTTTCAAAGCCCTTCAATCCCTCCAGTTTTCTCTCCAAGTATACTCTTCATAGCTTGTACATTTTGGCACGTTTATATTTGAAGCACGCAGAAGAGGACTGTTTGAAAACGTTGCAAGACTGCTAGAGTTACAATAATAACTTTGCCATAAAATATCCATTAACTTGATATTAACTGTCCCTACTACATCAGACAACCACAAGAATAAGTATTTTGAAAACCCAGAATTTGCTGCTTGTATTGCACATTCAGCTGGAAAACTCAGTTCTTCCCAGGTGGAGGAACCTTATAACAGCAGACCTTTCTGAAATAAAACAACCCATCACATAAAGAAATGTTTAGACCAATGGTTGGTAGCAAGCTCTCAGGTATCTCAGTTCTTAAATTAAAATACATTCAGATTCCAGATTTGTCTTTTTGTAGCCTTGCTGAGATTTTATGCAATGCTTGAGACCATATGGGTATAAAATATATCAATATATCCCTTATATAAAATAGTACATGTTCTACTGGTAATTTCTTCCAACGTTAGGTACATTGCGTTCATTTGAAGTAGGGCAATACTCAATAAATAGAGCTCATCAGGAGCAGTATTTAGTACAAGAGGTTTATCAGATCCCTGCGAAAGTGAACACATGATGCAGCCAGTGATCCAGTCCCATGAAGGAGAAGATGAATATGAGTAACAACTGAGCCGTGGCTCTCCTGAGGGCACCACAGCAGGTTTCCAAACTGAGTAGTGGAGTTGGGAGAAGGGGGGACTTAAACGTAAGGATGGACATGTGCCAAAAGGCAAGTAACAGCCATGAAATTTTTCATTTAAACAAAATTCAAATCTTCTACTGAAAAAGAGGCATGACAGAAAGTTGTCAGCCAGCCCAGTCAAAAGCAACAACAGCAATAGCACTTTTGACCCACGTGAAAGTGTAGGGGGGATTTTCCCTGGGAGAGATCTTTCAAGTTGCTGTATCTGATTGCAGGTCCAGAAGGGTTCTGAGAATAATGTAAGGGTTTTTTCAATGGAAACATCTTCTGACATTTTCCCAGCAACAATTATAGCGTGGCTGTATATTTGTATTATGCTGGTGTTCTTAAGTGTAAGCATGTAACTGGTTCTGTTGACCTCCAGCCTGTGTTTAAGTGCTTTGCTGGATCAGAACCAGAGCGCTTTCTTACTACCATCTACTTACTCAGTAAGGTTTCTGCTAAATAATATGCAGGTTGGAGCCACCATCTATTTCCACTGCAATTATGAACTGCTGCCTATACCATTTCTTTGCTGCCTTTTGATTTGCCAGTAAATCAGTGATTTGTAGTTGATGTGGATGATTAGTGCAGTATCAGTAGATTCTGTACTGTGCCCTTTACACTTACCTTGCAGCACAAAGAGGGACAATGATTTGCCTGAAGTCATGACTTTCTGCAGACTTTTCCAGAAGTACTGAAAGCCTCACAGCACTCTGAATGTTTATAAACCATAACATTCAGCTACAGAAGAGAACAGTATAATGTGTCTTCTGAATTGTTTTCCATCTTTGAGACTGAGAACAGTCTCACTGTGAAAGCTATTTTTATATCGTGAGCTTATTATGGCCGGTATCTGTATTTTGGTTCTATCCTAATCTGCTGGGGTTTTGTTTTTATTTAAATGCTTATAAGTAAAGTAGGCCTTTCAGCAGATTTCTATTACAGCTTTCTGTTTTACTTGGTAAGCTTAGCCGCAAGGCTGCTGTGTAGCTTTATAATGCTTTCATTTGTTCTCTTGAGGTTAATGCGTTTTTACTACAGCAGAAGTGTTTGAGTTGGCTGCATTTTGATGAAAAGGCCTGAATCGTTCAGATGGTTGTCATTTTTATTGCTTTTTAAATGAAAGTCAGAAGTCTGAAGCTCACGGTCCAGGTGATGGGTGCATCAACACAGCAATCAGAAATGTGACTGGAATGCACGTGGGCATGCAGGCTAGCTGAAATCTCTTGCAAACTTGGGCATTGATACATATGTGCTTCAATGTAGTAAGTATCACAGGATTAAATGGCAACATTACTGGACAGATTGTACAGCTAGTGTCAAAACCTTGTGTCACTACATTTTTCAAGGCTACCTGAGTTGGTCACGGGTAAGACGAAGACCTCCGGTATATGACAGGAGGCCATCAGTGCCTCCTCCCTTCTGGAGCTCATTTGTGCAGAGCGAGATCAATGGTTTCTGCCTCTGTTTTATGGACGTGCCCAGCTGGACCTGAAAGTACATTTTGTTTTGCTGTCCTCTGCTGCTTGCCACTAACTAGGAGCACACCACTTGCAATAACATTGTGAAAGGTAATTAACTGATATCCATAATGGTCCATAGAGGTGTTCATTGAAAAGCATAAGGAAGATCATGGTGTCCTCCTAGTGCTCAGACCAAAAATTCACGTAATAGAAAAGATCAGGCGGTTTTCTCTGGTAGCAGTTTTTTTAAATAGGGCGCTAAACACATTTGGAATAAGTGATGGAGTTTTTAGATGACATCCAAGCAAGTTGTAATGGGCCAATGTAGAACGCTAGAATCAAACTCTCACCCATTTGTGAGGTTGATCCCCTCCACTGTTCTTGGGCAAGTATTCATCATTTCAGTTTTTTCCACCTCAAAGGTGAAATTTGAACTGCAATATTTACTCGTCTCAAGCATATAGATGTAGGATTATAGAAGTATCAAGTGTAATTTTTTCATTTTTTAAATATCAGCACAGGTCAATCCATGCAGAAAGAATGGTGCAAAAATCATATTGATGTAAGACTGTAAAATGCTTTATCTTTTCTTATTTTAGCTAGTTCCTCTCACGCAAAAAAACCACCAGTCTCCAAGTCCTCTTCATCACCATCTCCTTCGTCCACATCATCTCATCCCAAAGCCTCTAAGGAGACTTCCAGCAAATCGGGCACATCAGGGACTCCCAGGGGCAAGAAGAAACCTGGGAAACAGTCAGCCCCACGAACAGCGCCGGATGGGGCTGCTTCTTCCCCCTCAGGTGCCACAGCCAACAGGTTGGAAGCGAAGGCAGAAAAACCCGAGCCTGAGCAACCTTCCATAGTAATTTCTGAAATGGAGGACGCAGACCAACCGAGCAAGCTCGTTGTCCCCCCTCCTCCCACCACTGCCCCTCCTCCACCTCCACTTCCACCTCCTTTTCCTGCTGCAGCCGGTCAGCCCGCTGTCTCCTCAGATGCCCAAGATGATGTGCCAGACGGCTGCGTGGCAGGGCCAGCCGTCCCCGCGTCAGATGCTAAACCTCTTCTCCAGACTGAGCATGGCACAGATGAGAGCCTGAGCAGTACAGCCCTAGACAGTGGTCCAGATGCTAGTGGAGAAGACACAGAAAGGTAAGACGGTATGGCTGTCATGGGTAAGTGGTAAGACCCACAGACAAGGAAGCCACATTTCTTCTCGTAAGGCACACTGTAGGCGCGTGGGGATCTCTTCTGTTTCTTCTGCTGACTGGTAACAGTTTGTGTCCTTTTCTTGGAGGCCCAGAGCAGTGTTGCATCCCAGCACAATTTCTTCTTTGCCGATGTCTTTGAGCCATTCACCTGCAGTGCCTCATGTTTCCCCAGAAGGTCATTGCTCATAACCTGCCTCCTACGTTGTTGCGTGGCTTAATGTGACCGCTGCGGTCAGCAGTTCAGCTAGTAGCTGATAACACTTTTATTTCTCTCTCATAAAGGCAAACAACAAATGATGCTGAATTACAAAGGAGTTCTACTTTTTTTGTGGATGTCATTAAATATCTCACTGCTAAAGCCCTAAATTCAATAGCTGAATTTACTTGCAGCCTTGAAAATGACAGTTTCAGGCTTCGGTTAGTAGGTGTTTGGTCTGTCACTGCCTAATAGCTTGTCTAAGTCTCCGATATATAAAATCTAGTCAAGAGCAAGGCCATAATTACATGTTTTAAGAAAAATAGTTGGCAGCAGAAAAGAAACTGGTTTATTAATCTGTCTTCCCTGCCATGAGAACCAGCATCTTTCATAACAACCCAAAAGAGTTTAATCTAGATGCCAGTGGCCTAGAGACTTTCCTTTAAACTCTTGCTGGTATCTCTGTGCCAGCATTACATTCCTGTGCTGCTTCTCCCCTTGCTCTACCCTTCCTTTACATAAAGATTTTCCCAAGGCAGAGAGCACTCTGCTGCTGATTTCCATGTTCATCAGTGATGGACATGAACATTTTGGACTCAACTGCAGTAAAACTGTATTTACAATAAATAGAGTTAGGCTTCCAGAATAGGAAGCTTTGCACGCCCATCTGCTCTCTGTACTCGCTTCTCTCACCCCCAACTTTATGAGCTGTTTTTCTCTTCTTAGTAGCTTTTATGTACTATTGGTCCCATCCCACAAGAAATAAAAAAGAATTAGGATTTTTCTTTTTACAGGCTTTGCAGCATGTCGTTCCAGACTGCTTGACCCTTTTTTCCTAACGTACATACAGATACTTTATATATGTTTTATATATGTATGTTTTTTAGAAAGAGAGGAGTTCATTTGAGTAACAGAACTTCTGTTTTCATACTTGCTTATACAGTCTGTCTCCCATTTGTGTTCTGTGCTGCTTGCATTGATGTGACACCATGTCTGCTTCTGAATTGACAGCTTGGCTACCAAAGAAGGCCAAGAAGCGGAGGCACCTGACCAGGCACACCCTGAACCAGTGGAGGAGGCTTCTGACGCTGCTGCTCCTCCTGAGAGTGAAAATAGCAGAGAGAGCCACAGCAGCGACTCAGACTCTGACGGACCGATACTGTACACAGATGATGATGATGATGACGATGATGATAATGCAAGTGCTGAAAGTAAGCCCCTGACAAGAAGGGTGTAGTAGGAAGGGGTGTCAGGTATATCTAATATACACACTTGGCCTGGGCTGCTCAGAGAGCCTACTAAGCTGCTGTGATTGCATCCAGATTGCTAACTGGAGCTTACTGGTTGAGTGTAGTCCGAAGACATCTACACCCGGTGAGATTTTGTGCAGCTGCCTCCATTAAATTGTGGCCTTCAGGAGAGCAAAGACTTTGGGATGGAGCTGATAGCAAGCACATCAATCCGTGGGTGATTCTGTTCCAGGATCTGGTTCGCTGGCAGGGCATCCCACCGAGAAGTCGCAGGCTACCTTTTGCACATTGTTATGTGAGCATGCCTGACCCATGCTAGTGCAAAGTAAAGAGATGGCTGCATGGGATGGTTTTAGATGATTTAATATTTTACCACTACTGAGAAAGGAGTGTCCCGCTTCTCCCAGACAGTTGTGATCAGAAACCTGCTGGGACCTATGCAATGCTGGGAGCAGATCAAGCATTGCGCAGATGGGAGTGGAGGTGTGAGGAGCAGGTTCAGGAGAACGTGAAGATGGAGCAAGGCCTCCACGTTAGGGCATCAGTGAGCCGTTGATTTGGCTTGCCCATGTCATGAACCTCTACTGTTAAAGCACCAGTGTAGCTTTCAAGTGAATTGCGCTAGAAATCCCAGAGTTTCTTGTGGGAATAACAGGCAGGGGTCGACAACAGAGGAGGCCCATCAGTCAGCAGCTTCACTGTCTGAAAGTCATTTCTTCCTCTTTGATCAGGGTGTTTTTTAGCATTGGAGCACCTTAGCAAACAGAGCAGATCACAGTGGATTACTTCAAGTTCACAGCTTTGAAATTTCATCTGGGGTCATGGCTGCATCACCACCATATGTCATTTAGCAGAAGTCCTTGCTGCTGCGAAGGAGGTTGTGCTGCCCACCCTCTGCCTCATCCCTGCTCCCAGCTGTTCCTTTTTCCCTTGGGCCAGCGCTCATGTTTGTTTTTGCAATGGTGGCTGATTTTCAGTAGAATCAGTTCCCTGATCCAGCTGACCGCATGGTTGCACCTTTGCTGGAGCAAAGGAGGCGCAACAACAACCTGTCAGGGGTAGAGAGAAGGGCAGCCCTACCCCTACCACCTGCAGGGTGGCCTTATGTCAGAATAAAATGATCACCAAACCATGGCTTGAGAGGCTTGCCCGCAGCTGTTCAGGAGGAGGTGCTTCGCTGTGCTTAGTGAAGAAGGCCTGAACACAAAAGTGCTGTGTACTGAAGGGGGGTGAGGGAAAATGAACATTTTTTTTTTCCTTGGACACTGGTGCAACAGAAGGGGAAGTGAGCTCAAGAGGCTCAAGAAGCTGAAGTCTTCTGCAGTTCTGCGTTTGGTGTGAATATGATCCAAAGTGGTAGCAACCAAAAATTCATGGATTCAGACAGCAGCACAGTGTCATGCGAAGTGAGCTGGGAGCCTGTGGTCGTACCAAACTGACTGATGTCGTGAAAACCTGCCAACCTAGGACATATGTAGCCCCCTTGGTCCGAATATCAAGAGACAAGGGGAGGACTAAAGGCCATGAAAAATACTCGTCCTTCCACAGCAGGCTGAAGCTAATGCTGGCAAAATTGCACGGCCCTTGTCCCTACTATATCTTTTTTTATGGATAAACAAATTCCTTCAGTGCCTGGGGGTTCCTGCCTAGGTTACTTTACAAGCACTCAGAGCACTTTTGTAAACTGTATTTTTTGTTTTAATTTACAAATTAGTTAAAGATGAAAAGCACTATACAAGAACTAAGTGGTATTAGATTGAAAAAAAAAAAATTGAAAGAATGAGGGAAAAGATGAGAGAACGAGACTAAACCATTTAAGGCTGAAGAAAAAGAGCAGCACGTTGCTAAATATACTAAGTAGATAAATAAACCAACATGTAATGTATCGGACTTCAAAGACACTTAAATGTAGATTTGTCATTTTTATCCTATCACTTCACAGATGACAAGTGATGTTTGTAAAACTCCTCTATCCATCTGGCCAGTAGCTTTTTCATCCAAGCCTTTCTGGTTTTTATTGTTGTGAACTGAGCTAAAACTATTTTTCTTTTGATGTTAATTAAAATTCCTCTCCTGCATGTGGGAACAAGGCTGCTTTGGGGAGGTATTGAAGTTCTTGCTCAGAGTTTGTGTCTGTAACCTAAGCATGAATGAACTAAATCTACCCTCCTCCTCCTTTCCTCAGGCTCTTTGGCAAGTAAAATTCGTCGCAGGGATACTCTTGCTATCAAGCTTGGCAACAGACCATCTAAGAAAGAATTAGAAGACAAAAACATCTTGCAGCGTACATCTGAAGAGGAGAGGCAGGAAATCAGACATCAGATTGGAACGAAGCTAGTGAGGTATCAGTGGCAGGGTAAACGTGGTTTCACTGGGCGGAGGAGGAGGAAGAGAACCAAGAACACTGGGTTCACGTTTTAAATGCAGCCCAATGTGTGGTGCAGGATCTTCGTGGTACAACTGCCAGGAAAACAGGATTTTTATTTCTCAAAAAACTTTAAAATGTCAATAATGCGTTTTTGTTCTGCAAGAAAAAAATCTGAGAGCTTCTGGGTTTTGGGTTGTTTGGATTTTTTTTTAAAAAGAGGAAGAGAATAAGAGTGACTCCAGAATTATCAGTGCCATGGTTCAAGCTTTTTCTCACATTGGCGAGCAGGGACGTGCACTTGTGTATTCCCATCTCGGACAGAGTAGTAGTTCCTGACACACAGAACATGCCTGTGCATGTTCTTCCCTCCTGGCCCTCCCCCTTCTCCTGCTCTCTAACTCTTTCATTATTCATGTGCTGGTTCCAGCAAAAGAAATGGAGGGAAGCTGACTTCATAGGTCAGTGTTTAGTGTTTTACTGTGCTCACCTCTGAGGGTTGTCTTTCTCATGCTGTTTAACTGCTATGGGATATATGTTACTTTCTCTTCCTGGACTTGAGAATATTGCATAAAAAAGACTAATTTTCACTTCCATTTTTACAAGCTTTTTAAAAAAAAATCCTCATAAAAGTTAATTTTGGCTTTTATGATCTCTGAGAATAGACTACAACATGTCTGGATTTTCCCAGACCTGTCCTTGTTTCTTCTGTGCTCAGAAATGTTGTCCAGGCAGATTTGGAGGATGTCCTGTGTTTGCTGGAGATTTCAGATACGGGGTAGTCCAGCCGGTACTGCCCCAGTACGGAGCGCGGCAGTCCTGCGTCAGCACTTGGAAGATGAGCCGAGTTGCTCTGTGAATCGGGTGGCTGGCTAAATCATTTATTTCATCCCTTAGCCGTAAGAGTGTTACATCTATTGTGTGGAGCCCAAGGGTCATTTTTCTTCTGCTAATAAAGCGGCGTGGTTGTTACCACCACTTCCCGGACCAAATCCCAGCTCCGGTGATCACATCCTGCTTGTTGGTGCTCCCTCGAGGGCTTGAACTGCAGAAGCCGCTCCGGCCCCTGTCCTGAGCCCCTTGCACAGGGACATTGCTGGTTCCACTGGGAAGCTGGCATGCTCCCCGCGCAGCTCTGCTTTGGTGGCAGGAGGCAACATCCGTGCCTGTCGGGGCGGTGCTCGTGCCTGAAATCACAACCAAGTTTGACGCCAGTTCCTTAAAAATTCCTGGCGTGGTGGTCAGCAGCCGGCAGCATCGAGGGCTGGTGGGAAACCCATTCCCGTTTGGTCAGGGTCGGGTCGGGTCCCAGCCTGGGGCTTCCTACAGCGGGGGCTGGTCACTTGGGGTAAACCTGCTGGTCCTTCCCGCCAAATCTGAAAGTCCAAGCGTGGTTTGAATGAGATGGGTTTCATGAGGCCGAAGATAATCTGTAGCGAATTGTGTGAGGTTTGCTGGACAGAGGCATCTATCTTTAACTGCAAAATTAATTTTACTGCTGAAATTTTTTTTGCTCCTTTTCTCAAGTGAACAAGTGAACCCGTTTAGTAAACATAGAGACAATATCAACCATGTTCTCCACTATACAAACCAGAAAATTAATATCTCAGCGGGTTTTTTTAATGGCAGTTGTTATATATAGGTAACTAAATAAAATTAACTTTCAGTTAAAACTCCCAATTGTACTGTACGTACAAATCAGTGAGGAATGCGCAGCTTATGTTGTGGTTTTCTTAAAAAAAAAATGAATAGGATTTGCATTAAAAATATCTGAGAATAATCTTATGATTGCACAACTTATCATAATTATGGTGCTGGGGGACATAAAAGGTTTGTGAACTCTTTCATAAAATTCTCCCTGTAAATGAGGGATTTAAATGTGCTGGTACAATTTCTGTAATGCTATGCAAGTATCAGTTATTTATGTGTTCGAGTGGCAATATACATCTTTTAAAACAAATGGCCAGTCGGTACTGTGGTTACATGCACAGTTATTATAACTGTGTCTGGAAATTACCTGTGTTGTTGAATACCTCTGCTGGTAAAGAATAGCATGGCCACATGAGAAACACCTTTTAAGCTATATTACAAATCATAATGTGTTATTTGGATCTGGTTTTAAATCAGTCACTTACTTTGTTCTCACAGGAGACTTAGCCAGAGGCCTACAACTGAAGAGCTAGAGCAAAGAAATATCCTAAAGCGTAAGTATTTTATTCAGGTTTCAGCTAGTATTTACTTAGAAAGTGAGCATATGTTGGATTCATATGGAAACCTATCATTGTTGCTCTAGTGTTAGAGCCATAACTGGAGAGAAATTGTGTTCTAGAAAATAACATGTCAACGCTAGACCTATATACTAACCTGTTAATGGTAGCTGTGAAAATTGCATATATTCAAGATGCTGAATTTTGCTTGTCTCAATCCCACTTCTTGAAGCTTGTCCCAAAAACCAGGAATGACTTAGATACCCCTTAGAACTAGTTCTATGCTGATTAAACTTTGGCCTAATTTTTATGAGGAGGAGGAAGAGGGAATATCAGAAGGAGGCAGAGGTTGGAAGGTGGAGCAGAAAGAGGAAAGGTGAAGCGTTCAGGGGAAAGTGAATAGGTATATGCCAACTACTTCAGTATACTGGCCTTCATATCTTCTGTACTGAGACTTGCATGAGACATTCTCACTGAATATCTTCCCATTGATTAAATCCTTTCTCAGTATCCCTCTTGAAAAATTTAAGTCTATAATTCAAATAGTCAGAGGCAGAGGAATGAAATACATTGGATGTTTACCCTCTATACCTATTCTCCCATTTACTTATGTTGGTTTTGTTCTTAGGCTGGCAAACACTTCAGAACAGGCATTTTTTGTCTTCCTGTATCAATCTTTCCATAATATGGATGTTACCTAAACACATACTGTAACAGCTGTCATGCCCAGCTCCTCTAGCCCTGTGTTCATTCTGCAAGGCTAGCTAGTACTTGATGCTTAAGTAGAGGAAATAAATGAAGAAAATGCACATGGAAGCATTTTACACGTAGCAACAAATCCAAGAACTCCTCTATTCTTAAGGTATAAGAACTTTCCACACTTGATGTAACTGAAAGAGCAGGTATAATGCCGTTATTTCCAACAATCGTTCAGAAAAGTTGGAGTTCATCTGTGCAACCCTGGTGCACAGCATGCTAATGGAAGAAGAGAAAATGGGCTGTTTACCCAACAAAGTCTATGGACTGATCACTCTGTCACCTGCTTAGGCCAGCAAATCAAGGACACGTAGCAATTACTGGCTTTCAGGCAACCATCCATGCTAATGAAATCCTACTGCTGTTGTCTAAGCTCTCAAAAGCCAAGAAGTGCCATGTCTTATGGAAAAGAGAAGCTAGAGTTCATGCATTATGGTGCACAGGAGAGGGTTCAAGGGACTCCTGTCCAATACATAACGTGAACAGACTTTCTAAGGCTATAATTTCTGAACCTATAGATTGCATAGATAAATAAAGATAAAATTTTATGAACGTTTTTTTATATGACGAACCGCTCATGCTGGACTATGTGAGAAAGGTAATTCCAAAACATCTTTGGTGGGCCAGGGTACGGCCACTGAGCTGGGAGCACCAGCTGGGCTTCCTTACTGCCCTCGCTGCCTGGCTAATCTCTAGATAACTAATCTAGCAACAAACCTGCGATGTATTTAATATCCCTTTTGCCACTGTTTATTCCGTTCACTGATTTTGCAATAAGTAGCTCAAGAGTGGAAAGCAGTTAATAGATTTCTTCTCCTGTTTCGGCTTGTGTACTTTAAGCTTTTGGCAGCGTACCAGGCTCTGCACTCAATACCTCCAGCCGTCCTCCCCTGCTGCTGTCAGGGGGCTGTCTTAAAGAAGCAAGGGAAAGCAAGAAATGAAGGCTGGGAAGCAGCATTATAAATCACAGAAAAATCGCAGAGTCATTGACGAGCATGTGGAGAATCCGAAACTGCTTTTTGCTCATTACTGAGATACAAAATATTTCGAGTTGACAGTGAGCTGTAAAAAGCAAAGCGAACCAAAGCAAGCTGGGGTGGCGGTGACAGTCTGACTCAGAGCCCCTTCAGGGGACAAGTTCTCTCTCAGCTCTAAGGCAGTCATATTATTTATCAAAATTATTACATTCCCTTCCTGTGGATCATTCGAAAATGTTTACATCTCTGAAATGCCTTCGTTGTTGTAGGCAGCTTTTGTGAATAAGTCCGGATTTCTTTCATAAAGCTTCCTTCCTCCTATTTTTAAGCAGTAGATGCGGAGAAGGGGGTATATTATTGCGTGTATGTAAACTGCAGCTAAGGGAAAGTATTGTTTTGAGTGATATTTATCAGACTTTGAGGTTACATTAAGTGGTAAAGGTCTAAATGTTTATTTCAGGATTAAGTTCAGGCCAAATCTTTTAAGAGGTTCAGAAAAAGTCTGTATTTTTCCTTTTTTTATATTTCCAGTTAGAGAGGAAGAAGTCTTGCAAGAAGTTTTGTTTTGATAATATTTCCAGATAAACCAGTTACTGAAAATCCTGTGACCGAGTACGATCACGAGACTTTGCAGGTGGATTTCTATAAAAATAATTTGGATAAAACTATCCAGACTTCTGAGTCTTCCCACACTAAAACAAAGTTACGATAACTCAAGAGTCCACTTGAAGAAAGAGATAAAGCCTTGTGTTTTTAATAAAGACAGGTTTCTTGTGTGCTGGCTTTGAGCCAGTAGTATTTATAGTATTGCATTATGGCAAAGAAATTTTTTATTCTTCCAGGAATTTCGGATTAAGATAACTGTATTTTTTCTTGTATTTGTAAGGGGCAGTGAACTACTTGTACTGTGCACCTGCATGCCTGCCAGTACTGGCTTTGTGGAAAACAGGGTTTAGCTCTTGATGCTAGGTAAGGAATATTAATGGTTATCTTTGCTTGTAAAACCAGGAAAGAGAAACCACTTTGTGCGTTCCAGAGCACTGCAAGAGGCAAGCGCTTTATTTGTCTTTTCTTTCTCTTTACCGCAGATAAGTCTAAACATAGCTAATCCCATAGGGACACAATGGAAAGTTCGGTTTTACGCTCCGGGAGTACTTTCTGGTCAAGAACGGGGCAGTCCTCAGGCAGAACAATTTCTCTTTTCTCTTTTCCCCTTCTGCTACAAAACAAATGTCCCACAGAACAGAAGGTGACCAGATTTAATCGGGCAAAAGTTGCAGGAGCAATAATGTATAGATGCCAGGGAAGCTGCTCGTTCTGCTTTGACTGCTGTTTTTTTTAACTCAAAGGCCACGATAAGTGATGCTAAACAAAATTGTTTCAATTAGGAGTCAAATCCCAGTTCGACCTCCTAGGAGCTGCAGGCAGGGGAGGAGGGAAGCCATAGTTTTGCTGGGATCTAACTGCAAGCAAAGGGCGCTCGCTGGGCTGGTCCTTTGCCAGTATGGCAGCAGCGGGACATCTGAGGAGGGGACTTGCAGCTGGGACCGCTGTGTTTATATTTTCTTTCTCCACATCGCCCAGATTAGATCTGCTTTTAATGTGGAAAGCAGTCAGAAGTGTGTTCCTATGCATTAATGTGTTCCTGTTTGGGCAAGCAAACCTGCAGCCAAAACGTGGCCCTCCGGCTGGAATTTTCCACAACACCTGAAGGAAGCAGAGGAGCACCAGACCCATTATTTTTAGCACCACGCAGCTTCCTAACTCACTACAGCAACTTTCAAAACTTTTATCTTAGAAGACCAAAAATACGCTGTAGGTGTTACTGTTGGTAGGGATTTGTATCAGGGCAGTGTTTCCGTAGCACTGGGCTCAAAGCAACGCTCTGCCCAGCAGGCTGGAGATGGCAAATAGGTGCTTTAGGTACGAGTCAGTGCCGTAGACGGAGGGCCATTTGCCAAACAGTGGATTCAATACATTAGCAGCAGCCACCAGATTTCAGTCCCTTTCCTTTAGCTCATGAGTTTTATTCCTAGAAGTAAAACCACTTGAATATGTAAACCACGTCCTGCCCCCGACCTCTCCTGCAGAAGACTGTCTGTTCCCCACCTGCTTTGCCCAGGAGTGAAGGAAGCTCCTGGTGCCTCCTGTTAGAGCTGTCCTGTGAAAGGTGGGCTTCCAGCCCTCCTCACCAGCCTCCTCCAGGACCTGCCTGGACCCTCTGCCCAGCAGCTAAGGTGACGGCCTTGCTCATCTCCCGTTTCTAGGTGGTATCCCGTGTCCAGGAGTCCCTTCGTGCAGTCATCTGCGCTCTGCATCTGCAGCCCACAGGGAGGTAGCTTCATAGCTTGGGATAGGCAGCTAACCTTCACCCTTCCTAAATGTCCAGATCAACTTTTTTGAGTTATTTTATCCTCCCCCAAAACATAGAAAAACAGTATTTCAGGTGGCCGTGCTATTGGTAGTTGTTTCTTAAGGTACGCATTAAGCAGTGTGAGCTCCTGTTTCTTACATCAAGCATCTTATTGCTGCTTCTTAGGAGGCACGGTGGTTTAGATAGCAAAGAAATGTCAAGATATGAATAATGCAGAATGTATTCTACAAACTAAATTAAGGAAGAGGCAGTACAGCGATGTGTATATCCAGCTGCATTTTTTTCTGCTGTGTCTGCTACTGGGGAATTTCTGAGGTAGGACTTAAGCAACTCAGTTCATGAAGGGACAAAATTTCTAATGTCAAATGATTCCCAGGTGAATGGAACCCCAAATTAATAGTTTGTGTTTAATTACCTCAGTTGCTACGTCTATTGATTGCAAAGACAGTATGATTAAACAAAAGCCTACAGATGATTTACCTAAAACAGCTAGAGAGCTTTTGATTTTGTTAGGTGAAGGTGTTATAAAAAGAGTTCTCATTTGAAGTTATAAGTCCTTAAATACACCCAACTTGTTTATTGATAGATATATTAATAAAAATGTTAAAAATGTAAATCAATCTTTAACTCTCCTTTCTTCAGTTTTAGTCAGTTTACAGTTTCTCTATGGAAACAGGCCATCCATTTCTTCACCATTTAAGAGAAAACTATTAATAAACCATAAATTACATTCACATTTCAGTATCTCAGTAAAATCACCATCAACACTAGATCCAACCTAATCCTGGCAGAAAGCCTGTGTGATTGCATCTTGCCGATGGAAGCCTGGGGTTGGTGTTGGACTCTTCTCACAGAGCAGGTCTTGGGCTGGCGTTGCCTTTTTCCTACTGTAACTTTCTTCTTTTTGTTTTTTATCATTTCTTCCTCTTCCCCTTTCCCTTGTATTCTTCTTACGTGAGAGCCTTTGAGTCAGCAAAGGAAATCTGCAAGTACTACGAGATGACCTGTCGTAGTGTTGTCTCCAGTGTATCAGAAGGTCCTCTGCAGCCAGGTTGCCTATACTAACACAGCAGGCTGGCCACAGCAGACTGGGCAAATCAGATTATACCAGGATTTAGAACTGCCTTTTCATCTGTGTAGGTTGGCTGCATCCACAATAGACAAATTAATTCCTTTAAATTTATAGTTAGCCTTGAACTCCAACGTGGAGTTCCTAACCTCCAACCATGAATAAACAGGATCAGAATTTTATGGATATCTCTAGGTGGGATATTTCTAGGTGGGATATTTCAGCCACAACAAAGTTAACTTTGCATATAACCATCAGAGGTGGACTTAAAGGGCAAATAATCTTCTTCAAAATGTACATCAATTAAAAAAACCACCGAGTCCATATGAACGTGCCTTTGTAAGCGTCAGTCAAGAAATCAAGTTTGATTAGCACAGAAATTTGTTAAAAGCACATATCAGTCTCATGCCCAAATACATTCAAAAAATGCACGTCATTTTCTGCTGTACTCGTTCATTTGGTCTAGCTAGTGGCCCTTAACCAAGAGGGCTTGAGTGCTGAATCATATGCCCACATTATAAAATCAGGAAAAAAAAAATGAAAGTAACAAAGCCAATTTGCACTAACAAATGACAGTGAAACGAATTGTCATGGATTCATTGCGTCCTGTAACGGTAAAGGACATCGGCTGATTCAGATATTCAGAGCAAACTTTTTTCTTGACCCTTATGAATAATTAGACTCTTACTCTAAAGTCAATAGGTGGCATGTTGGAAGCAAAAGCCACAGTGATTTTAATGTTAGGATAAGTAATTGAAACATTAGGCAGCTCTTCCAGGGTACTTCTTGTTTGCTGTTACACAGAAAGGAAATGACGGGCGCCTCCTCTTTGCTCTGTTCCTGACTCACAGTGGTGACTTGAGGTGTCTACAGAACCAGGGGAAATGAGGATAGGGAAAAGAAATGAGAGCACACAAAATCCAAAAAGCGGACAACACATGCAGGATCACGCAGAAATATGAGGAAACATGAGCCAGGACTTGAAGTCCTGAAGCTTTCAACCAAGAGAAATACAGTATGTGCAGTTATAATACTTAAATATTCACTCCTTTTTATCTCTTCTGAAAACAGAGAAGAATGAAGAAGAGGAACAGGAAGCCAAAAGAGAAATAAAACGTAGACTCAGTAGAAAGGTGATGATGTGTTTTTTGTATTGTGTATTTGTGTATATAGGATTATTTTTTATAAGATTCTAAAAATCATTGTGTATACATTACTGCAAATGTCCATCCGTCACGTCCCCAGATTAGAAATCCGTTTAAAAAGCAGTACAAGCCCCCATCTTGGGGGAAACTCCATCCTGTCCAGTTTCGCATACCTGGAAAAGCATATGGAGTCTGGCCGTGCTTAATATTCGTCCCTGTAAGCAGGGGAGAGAAATGACACGTGTTTCCTCTCTGAGCATGACCACTGCTGCCATGTGTGTTCGCGGGCGGCCACACCCGTAGATCCACTCTTCCCTGGAGCAGCGGAGAGGGCAGCAAAGCCGTGTGGGCCCTAAGAAATCCCTTCACCGTTCTTCTAACCACGTCAGCGGCCTTGGCTGCGCTCATTGTCCCTGGAAATAAAGCAGCTGTGCATCTGCTGCCCTGGCTTCGGGAGCTCGTTCTGGGAGAGGATGGGGGGAGTTTTCATATGTATCCCTAGTCTGCCCTTCTCTGCAAAAATACAGTTTCCTTAATATGATTGTCCTTAGTTAATTAAAGTGAATATTGTTTGAGGTGACTGAAACAATTTGGCATGATAATGACCCCCAAATGTTTTTTTAGCTAGGCAGGCATCTCCAAATCCTGCTTATTTTCAGTATTATAGTTGAACACAGCAGACTGCGTAATCGTTAATGCAAATGGACCTACCGCCTAGTGCAGTAAATGGTGTGACAGTTGCAAAGTCACAATTAATATTCCAGGGATAACTGTCATGATTCTCTGTGACCTGCCCGACAAAGACTATTTTTATAATTGAAGAAATTAGGTTGTGCTGCTTCCCCATTCCCGTGCAGCACTCCCAGGATGGTGCCTTTTTTTAGACACCTGAAAGTGACCCTATTTAGAAATACCATTAAAGTTCTCTTGAGATTACATCATACCCTCAGCTTTTATTTTATTTTATTTCATCTTATTAAACCTACTATTTTCTGCCTCCTGCTTACAGCTCAGCCTGAGGCCTACAGTGGCTGAACTTCAAGCGAGAAGAATCCTTCGATTTAACGAGTACGTGGAGGTCACGGATTCTCCGGATTACGACCGTCGTGCTGACAAGCCTTGGGCCAGGTTAACTCCCGCAGACAAGGCAAGGGACAAATGTAGATTATAAGAAAACGCTTGCGTCTGTCACTTTTGGGAGGCTTTCCTCTGGTTTACATTCTCTTGACTCCAGCATCACGAATGACATCTGCTGGAGGCAGCGAGATTGTCATGGTACTACTGTGCATCTACTGCTTGCAGCTAAGAAAACCCACTCAGGTGCCTATTAGGAGCATATTTGCTACCTCCATTACGGCAGTTCAGGCCAGAATTTCTTGCATTTTTAAAGCCTTGCTAAGCCAGGCACACACTGTTAGTGAAGATGGCCACGACCCGTGGAATTCAGGCAAGGTTTCTGCAGGCAGAAGCCTGCGTCACTGCCACCGAGAGTTACTTTTGCAACTCATTCAAGTGAAAAAAGATAGAAGCTGCTCCATCTTCCGAAGGGTTCTTGGCCACAACTGTCAGTGCAGGAGCTGGCCGAATGCATGCCGCATGCCTTCTTGGGAAGTTTGCCCCCAACATGCTGCAGTTAATAGTGCCTCGGTCTAACTACAACGGATGAGACAAATGATTCTGTGATTCTCTTTTAAAAAACAGATCAGTCAAAGATTACCATAAAATACTCTTCCATTTCCCTCCTATACCACTTCATACAAGGAAAGCAGTAGGATTTATGTATCAAAAAGTGCTGGCCCTTTTAGCACTGGGTCTAAACCAACTTTTATGGAAATCCTATGAGATGTGCCTGGCATGAAAAGTAGTATGTGCAAGAACCCACTGTCTTTTAACTAAGGACTGTGAAGCACTGATTTCATTTCAGCTTGTATTTTAATATTAATGCCAGCTTACCTGACAATCAAAGGAGCATCTCATATCAAGTCAAGGTGGAGACATTAAAAATGTACCCAGAGGGGTTTGTAGATGTTGGTTCTGGGAGGTGCTGAGGACTCTAGTCCTTACGTAGTCTGCGGGAGGTTAGAGCGCCCAGCACCTCCACTTTCACCTAGGTCCAACCAGGGTAAACTGCACTAGAAAAAACACTGGAGTTTCCTCCCTACTTAGGGTAGCAGTTTTTAATCTCAATTCGTTTTGTAATGAACAGGTGCCCAAGGCTGGTTCTGTGATCCCCGTGTTTGTTGGCCTCGGCAGAAAGGCAGACCCCGGGTTGCCTGGAAACTCCCTTGCCCTTTTTTCCCAAGGAAGTAATTTTTCTAATTCCAGTGGGAGCAGAAAATTGTACTGTAACTATATTACGGAGTTGGAGCTCTGGTGTCCTTGCTGCTGATTTGGTGCACAGAAATAGCTGTCTCTTTCCTAGCTATTACAGCAGCCTCATGTAAGCATGCTGTTGTGGCTAAATGGAACCATCCCCTGCTTAAAATGAAGTTTCTCATTTATGAGACCGTAGTCTGGTGGTGCTATAATTTTATCATGCTCCTTGTCTGTTCTGCATTGAAAGGCATGCACACCAGATGAGATTTCTTTAGGGATTAATGAAATTATACTGCTTTTATTTGAAATGGTGAAAGAAAAGACTGAGTAAGAATAAACTGTCATTTCATTTCACAGTGAAGATAGGAAAGCGTATGGCATAGAAACAAAAGCCCTTGCAGTATATATTAGAATATTTCAGAAATTGTATGTATTACCTGATGAAGTAAATTGCTTATCGCTCTTTTAACATAAGCAACGAGGCATTTACAAAGTGCACTGAATTTCTGCTGTTCTTTAGTATCTGCCAACTGAAAACACAAGCCTGAAATGTCCAAATATTTCATGTAATTTTTCATAAAACTACTTAAACCAAGTGACTAATTCCACTTAAAAAAATGCTATTCATCTTGCATTCCTGAATTCGTGTCTTCGGCGGGGAGATACAAGGCCCCTGCTGCATGTACAGTGCCTGTGCAGGCAGCGTGGCTCACCAGCCCCTCAGGGAGATACAATGCCCTGGGGGTTGCATACCCAGCAGGTGACTGTGGAGGTAACCCAACCCCTTGCCCCTTTTTGTCTGTAGCAAGTGCCATATTTTGGTGGGGGGTTTGGTTCACCCATTGCAGTAGCTTTGATGTTTCTTTGTTTATTGTTGGTGTTTGATGCTTTGGGTTTCTTTGTAGCGTATTACTGCTTGAAATAGCTGTAATTGAAAAAAGTCGTTCAGGTTGCTGATCGAGAAATGTGTAAGAGCTGTGGATTACAGTAAGGGAGACTGGAAAATGGGAACTGTAAGGGAAGCTGCAAGAGTAGGGCCAGGTTCCTTTCAGACTCTACTTTCTTTAAGATTCATATTTCTTATGGTTGCGAATATCATTATTGTTTATTAGGCAGCAATACGGAAAGAACTGAATGAATTTAAAAGCACAGAAATGGAAGTACATGAGGAAAGTCGGCAATTTACCAGGTGGGTGAATTCCTCTTCTTGCATAACTCGGAGAGATGAGTATGGCAGCGACCTTCTGCCTTTCTGCAAGTCCTCTGCAGTTGTCATGACTTGTGTAGACTCCTACCATGAGTCCCCTTGAATCCCACCTGAATCCCACCACTGATTCTGTTGGGATTCCCAGTGTCGCTGGTGCCATCCCTGAAGTTGGCTAGTTGATGCAGCAGTGAAGGTGACTGCAGTGGATCAGTTGCTCCATGGAAAAAGATTGTTTGGGAAATCTAAAAAATAATCCTTTGAAAGGACTCAGCATTTCTCACAGATGAAGTTAACAGTCCTCAAACACAAAAAAAGGGATGTCCTTCTCTTGAAAGTATACATTTTTGTAGATGCGTTTGGTAAGTGAAAACTAGATGATGTGTTGAACTTCAGAAAAGCTCACCAGTGTTTTGGGGAGCTTCCTAAGGATCACCTGGGCTCCTGGCAGCAGTTTCTGGGGAACAAGACAGATTCTAATATTCCCTGTTTGCTACTTCTAATGTGTTAATCGGGATTTGTTTTGTTCTCTGCTTTGGACAACACGAAGATGTTTTCTGAAACATTATTATTTGAAGAGCTCTGAAGTGTCCACAGTTTTTAGCAGGACTTCAAATTTGGCAGAGTTATTCCTAGGGGGAGGAGGCACTTTCTGCCATCCCCATGGCACCTGTTAGTATTTTTTTTAAGTTATAAAGGCTGAAAATTGCCACCAGCAAGCAAAACTTGCTGTTAGGATCAGCCGACGTTGCATACATAGTATGATTGTCTTCACTTCCACAGAGAGTTAACTCAGATAAACACAGTTGCCCAAGACTGGGTCCGTTCCTCTTCCTGCTACTGTTTCAATTAAACTTGGGGTCCAAGCAAGCGAGTGTGAATCCTCTAACCAAAGAGAGTGTCACAAGGAAGATTCTCAATGGGAGATGGGTGTTTGGTGATTTCTGGCATCTCCTAGTGCAATGCTTGATTTCACAACCTCAGTGATTTTTTTCTCACCAAAACACGGATTTTTTTTAATAATACTGTAAACTCATTTCAGTGTAGATATAACATGAATAAATTAATTTTCAAAAAATCAAACCAGTTTCACAGACAGCAAACCTAAGCCAGGAGATGAACCGGGAGGCAGGGTTTTAATCTAGTGTCGCATTCTGACCATTAGAAAATGTCCTTTTCAAACATGGATTTGTATATTTTCATTTGGCTTCTGATGTAATTTTCTTTTCAGGTAGTGGGTAGTATATCATCTTCTTCAGAATATATAAAAATACTACTTTGAAAAAATGGGCATCCCAAGGGAGAGAAGGAAAATGAGCAGGAATAGAAACCTGTCTGTGTGCTGAGAGAGATGGAGTGCAACCCCCTGCTTACGTTGTAACGTTTTTTGAGTTGCATTGCAATATAGAAGCATAAGTACAGATAGGCATGAGTCATACAAAAAGAATTGGATATTTTTTCATGAGAATTGAAAACAGTTGAGACTGATTACAATTGGATTCTTGAAAGCTGAACCAAAAATCTCAGGGATCCAGTGGAGTGACAGGCCAGTTAAAAAGTGAATTTTTTTTTGAGGACGGCCTTGGAAAATGGAGTAAAAAATAGGCCCAGCCAAACTATGATAAATGTAGGCAATGATTCTATAGGGTCCTGGAAGAATTTCAGCCTGAGGGAAATCAGACTCACTGTTCCCTATCCACCCTCTTTTTTTTCACTGGTCATGTTGTGGAGCCACTGCACAGAAGTCAGCAGAGTAACACTAGAAAAAGCTAATTAAGAGCAGAATTAGATGCAGATGTTTTAAGTCAATTGCAATTTTGAAAATAAAAAGAGATTCTGTTTCCTCCGGGACCTCTCATTAAAAATTATGTAGTTCACCACTACATTTGGAGTGATACAACAGAAGTGATTTGTTTTAAGAAAACTGTAGACAAAAGTCTCTAGCCAGAATATGAATTACTCATCTTTTAATTTTTTTCAAGGAGATCACTGAGATAATACAAACCAAAAGGCACTTGCATTGGCAGCTGGTTAACAAAGGCTTATTCGTGAAGTTCTGTGATAGAATGAGACAACAAGGAAGCTGCTTATTAAACAAAAATAGTTTATAGCATATAGTTTCTTATATTACTACATATTCAATATAAGATGCTTTAATATTATAATCAGTATTTACAATATCTTTGAATTGTTAAAATTTGATATTAAACTTGGGAAAGAAAAAACACTGGTTTTCATTGTTCATCATTTCTGTAATGACTGTCAGTTGAACTGTTTTTCGACTCCTAGTAATTTAGACTGATTCCTTCTGTTATTTCATAACAGAATCCAAGAAACTGAGTTTCTAAAAATAGAGGAATAAATAAAAGTTTGGGAAGATGATCTTAGTATTTGTTTATAAAGTGCTTCTAATGGAAATGCTATATATAGTCCAATATATTGTTGTTCTACACAAATACAAAAACCCTGTGTCTTTTTTGCAATGCACTGCATCCTCAATTAGCAGATGAGCTGCATACTTGTGAATGTCAGCTTTTGTGTACACCTCCTTTATTTGAGAAATGCATCCCTGTGTTGTACTGTACCACAGTACAGGGGTAATGTGTGGCTTGTTTCCTTTTCCGTTCTCTGGAACTGTTAAGAGAAAATGTGTCAAACAAAAACTTATGTAAATCTACTGTGTTAGATGCATCATTAGCTAAGCTGTTGTAAAGTTGCTGCATCTTTTACTACTTCATGGATAGATGTATTTTTAAAGCCATTTAAACAGAGATTTAGAAGTCTGGTGATAGATATTTTGAGCACCTAATATTGGTGCCCTTCTTACCCTTATTCATTAAATTTAAGCTGAGTTAGAATTTCAGTTGCTGTAGGCTCCTAACTTACTCTAGAAAAGGTTGGCGACACTCTTTGGAGCAACCCACCTCTCTATCCGTCATACAGGCAATCTGGAGTGATGTACATGCCCTACCTAAAAGTCTAAAAAACAGTGAGGTGTATTTGGGCCTTCATGTGCCACAGTCGGCTGCTGTTAATAGGAAGAAAGCATCTGCAGTGCTATAAAATTTGTTGCTTATTTAAAAAAATCCAAAATTTTTGTTGGCTTCATTTTGCAGAAGGATTAAAAACTAGAAATTTAAGTTTTACGGCTTAGCAAAGCTTTTCTGATTTACCGGCAGTGTCTCCAAATAGGGGTTGCAATTGTGGCTAAATCTATATTGGTAAACAAAACAGACTGGAGACTGTTCTCCAGCCCTGAGGCCAGCAGGCTTGGCACAGCTTGAATTCATACAGCTAACTTCTTCCCCCCACCCCAAAACAGGGTGACGTCCCCCCATACCCAGTCTGCCTATTGGCCTGTGCAAATCCCAGCCATGCCCAGGCAGTGTCTGGAAGAGCGCTGGTTGACCCAAGCAGAACTCTGCCAGGGACCACAGTAACAGCTTCATGGTATGGACAGACAGACATACACCAGCGCCTGAGCCACCCCATAACCCTGTTTGGTTTTCTAGTAGAGAGGGACGGAGAGTAGGGGATAATAGGGCTGACTCTAATCCCACATTGACCAGGAAAATCAGAAATAATTTCTGTTCAGGCAACAAAAGTAAACAGCTGTGAGAGCAGGATGAGGATCACTGTCATTGTCAGTTCAAATAATACAATTCTAAGTTTTTTAATGATTTATCATTTCAGGTTTCATCGTCCGTAACTGTTTGACCACATCCCGTATTTCATGTAACAGTTTTCTTTGGGGAAATCATTGCGTCCTGAAGACCTGAGATTGCACTGGAACTTGACTGAGTGTGAGTCTGTGCTACAGCTTACCCTGAGGTTAAATGAAGGATGTGGCCCTCATCTTTATCAATGGACAAATGATTTGTCTAGGAGGAGAACCCACATGAAGTGTTTGTCAGTGTTAAGACAAACCACGGTTCTGTGGCTAGCCCACACAGATGAATCGGTGGACTTCGGAGCTCCACAAGTCAGGAAGTGCTGAAGACAATCGCTTGAGAGCCTGCTACCAGGAACTCATCAGACTTTGCAGGGTTGTGACTGAGGGTAACTGAGGGGGGGAGTGTGAAAAGGACTGAGAGCGTGGGGGAAGAGAGACTTTGCTTGTCGGTCCACAGAGAAAAGTGGAACGGATGGGACTGCTTAACGAGGCACTTGGCCAGTGGGAAAAAAAGAAGAGAGTGTGAGCAACGGTGCATGTATTTTTTTTAGTGGCCACAGCCTGTCTTAGAAAGACGGCAAGCCACAAGTCCTCATGTCATCAGTGCTTTAGTGAAGAACTGTAATTTTCTCTGGTGCCAGTAAATACAGTTGCCAGAAAGTAGTCCTAGTATAACTCAGCTGTCTTTTTTAAAATCCTGATGAGCATGCTTCAAGGAAATACATTGAACATTCATACAGAACAAGTTATGTGTTTTTTGGTTTTTAATGTTGACATACTCTGGATCCTCAGAAATACATAAACAGGATTCGAAAGACAAATAACGTGTGACACTATGAATGCAATGAAATGCTTCATGTTTAGAAACACTCCTTGCTATCTGTCACTTGCCATTCAAACCACAGGGATCATTATCTTTCTCACCTATGGCAGGCAGTGGTGACAATTTTGACATCATGCTAGTGTGAATCCAAAATCAGAATTGAAATTGGGCACAAAAGTCTTTACTAGTAGGCTTGAGCAGTGATTACTAATGTGACTTCTCACGTCTAAGGACTCTCGCACTGCTTTGAGGAAGAACGCCCAGATGAATCAGTATGTCTTCAGCCAGTGGTCTTGTAAAAGCGAATGGAAAATCCTTAAGAGTGTCTGCAGCCTGTTTTTGTTGAGTGTGAAGAATGCTTCTTAGATTCATAATTTTTATACTATCTTGAAATTGTATATGTGAATACAGTACTATTAAAATTAAGTGGTATGGAGTGTGAAAGGCAATACACGGTTTTTCTAAGTTGGCCCAAAGGCCTATTAAAAAGCCTGTGGCGTTGTTTACACTAAGAAAATCTCTGTCTTATATTAGCACTTATTTATCCTTTGAATTAATGTACACGACATTTTGGGGGGGTCTGGAATTCACATATGCATACATTTAATGCAGTATTACAATATATTTGCTATTTATCCTTTCTAATGTGTGTACATATTACAATTTATTTTTGTCTTTTATGTGCCCTGTTTAGTTTTTAATTATGAAGTGTAAGTATTTCTTTTTCAGGCAATAAAAGGTCTGTGTAGATGTGATTTTTACCTCAGAACCTGCAATAGATTCTTGTGGAATGTTTTTAGTTTATAAAATTGAAGGTGGTTGTTTTAGATGTCAGCCTAAAGGCAGGAAGGCAATTTGGTGGCTAAAATTAGATCTCCCTCTTTACTGATACTTACAACAAGACCAGGTTTGCATAAATGGAGTGGATTATTTTAGTAAAGAGCAATTCTAGTAACAGGAGAGTGCTTTCCTACAGCTGGCATTTTTAAAGAGGTTGACAAACCTTTTTTTTTAAAAGATAGATTTATATGACTGTTGGGCTTACTTACATTTTAGTAAAAACCCAATGATGTACAGACCCAAAATATCAATAACCAAATAAAATAACCATCTATATGCTTGTAGCAAAGAAAAGGAAGCAGCACCTTCCTTTTTTAATGGAATCAATAAGAGGCATTAGGATTCCATTTGCAGAAAACAGTTTAGCTTTTGTGAGGCCCATCATTTTATAAATATAGAAAAACCACTTTGACATCAAGGAAGCAGTGAAAATGTATTTTTTGGCACTAAATCATGCAGGAGTGATCAGGCCATTAGAGTTAAGGTTTGTCAGCAATTCTGATAGAATCCTAATTTTTATTTTTAGAACTTTAGAGTAAATTTAAAAACCTACACTAGCACTTAACCAATAGTTCTCCCGCTTAAACTTTTTGTTGTTGTTCTTGCTAAATTTAGAAATGTGTGTCCAAAATCCTATAAAGGCCTACTATGTTGACTTTGAAGTATAAAACACAGTATTTCACTTCAAAGGAAACAAGTGGAGCAATTAAATAGACCTCAGTGTTGCCTTAATCACTTTCAAACATTTGAAATCAGCCAAGATACTAAAGGCAGAAAGATAGCTGTTGCACAGGCAGAATAACTTGGACAAAGGTAAAGCTGGACTATATAAACTTTATGTAAGATAGTAGTTCCACTGACATGCCAGGATACGTACGGGTTACACAAGTGGACTAAAACTTGTTAAACTCTCAGGATGAAGTGAATGAATTGACTTTCCAAGAAGACATTCCTCTATACTAGGCCTGGAGCATGGATGGCAAGACACGTGGCACCTTCTCATTTAAGAATTAAAACACAAAGATGAGGATACAACTTCTGGCTCAGACTTCTTCAAACTGCGTTTTGACATAAGACATGAGGATACGTAAGTGAGGTATCACTTAGGCTTTCCCTATTCTCCTTCTGGATTTGGGTTTGGGGGTTTTTTAAAGTATTCACTACAAGCCATTGCTAGAGGCAGAATACTAGCCTGGATAGAGATGCTGAGCTAATCTTTAATTTCTTATGTAATTTCTTATTATTTTGATGATAAATAACCAGATGCATTCTTTGGCCCACAATTCAGCAAACTACTTAAGGAAATGTATGTAACTGGACAAAAGGAGTTGCCTTTATTGAAACTTATGTAAAAATGGAGTATACTTGCAGAATTAGAACTATAAACTATCCACTGTGTATTGCACACACACACAGACTTAGAATTGCATATACTGTTTTTATATTCTAAATACCAACTGGCAGAAAACCGACAGCTGTAAAGTGTTATCCACGCAATAAAAAATAACAAGATTTTGGTATGTCATGGTGTGCAGTGAAGCAAGTTTGCTTTACTTTATTGAGCTGCCTGAAGTCAGTTTCTGCTGTATCTCCTAGTCCTCTGAATTGATGATTTCAAATGTCTTCAAGCTGCTACGACAGCCCGATGGAAATAATACGTCATGTACCTAACTCTCTATGGTGCTGCACGCCTGTTAGAAGGGAAAAATCAGGGTAAGTCCTGAGAAACTCCTGAGTGAGTAATCCTTGGGGAAAAAAAAAAAATGTAAAAAAGGCAAAGAAAAAAATAACGCTTTCCGTGCAACACATAGTACAGTCCAGCTGGCTAAAAGGGATCAAGGTGTTAATTTTTATCAAGTTGGACAAACTATTTAAATGTCATCCACAATATATGACAAACCTTACACATGTACCTATGTTCCACAGAGTCAGGTATAGACTCAGATGTCTACATCCACACAAAGAGAAAATGAATAGCTTGAAATAGTGGTTTCTGAAATTGCCTCATATATCACATTTATCAGTACGACCACGCATCACAGCATGTTGCTGTGGGTGCAGAAGAATAGATGCTTAATCAAATTCTAATTTCTTCTTCACATAACAAACTGAAATGATTCTAGAATGTCTCTCGTCTCTCTCTTCTTTCAGGTAATATATATTAGTCCTTATAACTGAAATTTGTTGTTTTAAATGAAAAATAGTCTGCCTGAATTTTCTCTAATTGTGATATATATGTTGACTCAACAAGTACCAAAAAAAATTATTTAAGCTAAATACCATTTCAACCGGTGATTTGAAACAAGGTAGGAGCAGTCTCTCTTCAAAATCACTGAAAGTATTCACAGCCATTTGTATGGTCTACAGGTCTACAGGATTATACTTATTTGTTGGGTTTAGCATTTACCTACAGTTGTGCGTGTCCCTTGCTGTGGTGGACTTTACCGGCCTCTGATGTGGTGTGGGGCAGGGCAGCCCATCCTTCTGCTTTGGCCACACTAAGCAGCTTTTAGAGAAGCACCACTACCTCAGTGTTGACATGTAAAAACCGTATCAGATGACCTTTTTTTTTTAACTTTTTTTTTCCCTTGAAAACCAAATGAAAGCTGTGAAACAAAGGGAGAAAAATGTCCCTGATATTACAGAAATTTACCCCCTCCTTCCAGGTGAGATTAGTGCTTTGTTTCCAGCGGAGATGCTTCAAACCCAGATCTTGTGACTAGCAATACTACAGCTATGTCGGAGAACTTGTTTCAAAATAGCTGTCACAACATGATGATAAATATGGTCTGAGCCACAATTTTGTATCATCGTAAAATGGAAGGAATCACAGGTTAAAAAGGTGGATCTAGCCTGGCAGCCTGGGAATCAACCAAAACCCCCTCATCGGCTAGAGCTGGCAGCGGGTTGGAGCCAGGGTAGGGAGAGCCACGCTGTCACCTGGGTACCTGGCAGACTGCACCAGTAGGACAGGTCTGGCTGAGCACTGCTGGCATCCTAAGGAGAGACTAGAATATGAGCCCATGTCTTAATGTCTGTTAACACTTTGATAAAGTAAACCAAGCTAAAAGCCTACATTTGCATTAAATTATCAGGTATACCAAAACTGTGTCTTATAATGCTTTCACATCATCTGTTTTTATTCGTATCTCAAGGAGTTAAGACCTGTGCCACTGCTGTAAACTAAAATAAAGACATACTCAGGGTGAAAAACAGAATAAATTTGCCTCCTGCCTTTAGGAGCTCCCACATTTAGCTCCATTAATGTTGCTATCTTTATTCTTACTGTACAAAGCTCAGTGCAATGCTCACTGCTGGGACCTAGTTTTGATGAACAAAAAAAAAAAAAGGCAATTCTGAAAGTTTGTATTAGGTTGATATTAAAATATTTTGAGGATCAAATAAAAAGCAAATTCAATTCCCCAGAA